TCTCTCTCTCTCTCTCTCTCTCTCTCTCTCTCTCTCTCTCTCTCTCTCTCTCTCTCTCTCTCTCTCTCTCTCTCTCTCTCTCTCTCCGTCTTGCTTCTCTCCTGACTTAGCTCGCTCTGCCTCACTCTCTCTCTCTCTCTCTCTAACCTAGATAGTCACCCTGGATACACCCACTCAGGTAAGCTTACACCTTGGCGGCTATGGCCGCCATCCTCCTGCTCTACCCCTACCCCAGCTATGGAGTCTACCACTACCCCAGCTATGGAGTCTACCACTACCCCAGCTATTGAGTCTACCCCTACCCCAGCTATTGAGTCTACCCCTACCCCAGCTATTGAGTCTACCCCTACCCCAGCTATGGAGTCACTTGCGAGCACCCTCTTCTTCTTGGGGCAGGCAATGCCCAAGTTGTCTTAACGCACAAGCAGCAGCAGCGCTTCCACATCTCACAACTGAATAAGTGATGAGCCACTGCACTGTAGCAGCTAAACATAGGACTTGGCCTGGCTTGGCTTGGCTTGGCTTGGCTTGGCCTGCTTCAGACCGGTACCGGTCGGCCGCGGCCTGTCTGCTGCAAACATTTTGTCGGTCCGGCAGCTTCCAGACTTTCCTGGGACATGCTTCGAAATTGGACTGGGACTCTGTCACATACTGACCAGAACAAGAACCGACCTCTCTCACATAGTACGGATCCACGCATCACCGAGCTTCTCGACACCTACGGCGACGTGTTCGAAGTCCCGCACGGAGTAGTACCGGATCGGCCCATCCGCCACGAGATCATCCTCGAGGTCGGGGCCGTACCTCTGCGTGGTTGCATCTACCGCATGAGCGAGGAAGAGTTAAGTGTGCTACGGGCACAACTTGACGACCTTCTTGAGAAAGGCTGGATGCGGCCTAGCTCTTTGCTGTACGGCGCGCCCGTTCTCTTCGTCCGGAAGAAGAACAAGGACTTATGGCTGTGCATCGATTATCGCAAGCTTAACGCGCAAACCGTCAACAACGTCAGCCCTCTTCCACACATCGATGACCTCCTCGAACAACTGGGCGGCGCCAAATTCTTTTCCAAGCTTGACCTCAAATCGGGGTGATGGAAGCTCGAATGCTCGCGGCGGACACCACGTGACAACTGATCGAAGAGTGAGGTGGAGGCACCGTGCATGGGACTAGTACTCCATTCCGGTCACGGACGTGAATGGTGCGGTGGTAGAAGTTCACCGGGCGGTCCTCGCGTCGCAGCCATGACATGCCCAAAATCATGTCGAACTGAGTGTCCAAAATGTCGAAGGACACAACCTCACTTGCATGCGAGGCGAAGTACACGGGGACGAAATCAATGCACCGGTCGATTGACTTGTGCGTTTGACCGTCGGCCAACTTGACTTGCATGGGCTGCGACGTCCTCCGAACGCGTGGCCCAAGGTCAGCGCGTACCATAAAGTCTTGGATGATATAGTTGCAAGTGGCTCCGCAATCGATCAAAGCACTGCAAGTCGCTTCTCCGATCTGAATGCGCATGTACAACAATGGCGCGTCAATGTCATCGTACCGTTGTGTCTTGAACTCATGGTCGATCTTCGCAACGTAGTCGTGAAGGTCGACAACCTGTACTCCAGCGTCCATCAACGGAGCTGGTACTGCAGTGTGCAAATATTCCCGCAATTGTGCCATGAGCACGTTGCAATGCGGTTTCGACAATCGACCGGTCAGGGGAAGGGGCATCCATGGTAAGTCCGCGAACGTCAACGGGTCGAGTTCTTGAAGTCTTGACCATGACGTCGAATCCCTGGTGAAATTTGGCGGCGAAGTTGCCGAATCGGTTGCCGATGGTGATGAAACCGTGCATGCGGTGGATTGTTGCACGTGGAGTGGTTGGTCCAACGGCGGGACCAAGTGGACAGCGTAATCCTCGTAAGTGAACCGAGGACTCGCGACATTCGCATCCTCCCCAGATGTGTAGGAGGCCGCTAGCAAGGTGGCCGAATCTGGTGGAGTGAGAGGTGGAGTTGCCTCACCTCCCGCGCAACTCAGTTTCCCGAGTTGATGCGAGGTCGAACATCCTCCTTGGCTTGATCCTGGCATTGGGAGGTCTTGTGCTTGGTGCTGTTGCACCAATAGCAGCACCCGTAATAGCTGCAGTACTTGTATTTGGCCTCGGTCAAGTTGAACTTGACCCATGGTACTGGTTGTCCATTTCCGGCCGGTGATGCTACTTTTGCCTTCCCTGTGTTACGGGAGTTGTTGTTGCTTCACGGCTGAATGGCGGTCACCTGATCTCCATCACGTGATGCTGGGGTGGCTGCCGGGTCTTCCACAATGTTGTCCGGTTGGACTGCAGCAACATGCTGCGAACGCGGACCAAATTTTCCCTTCTCCACATAGGCTAGCTGCCACGCTGACTTCTCATGTGCAGCAGCCCGGTTGGTCTTTATGATCTCTCGCGCCTTGTCGATAATTTCGGCAAAGGTCGTGTACTGCTCGCGATCACCGAGTGCGAGACTCAAGGCGGCACACGACCAGTTGTAGAACTCTCGGCGCAGATGTGGAAATGACAAGTCGAGATCGGGTGTTGCCACGATCTTTTGCCATTCCGTGAGCCAATCGCATGTCGGTGTGTTGCCTTGGGTCATGGTGAAGAGGCGGTTGATGGCGAGCGCCGGGCCGTCGTCAACGATGAACTGCTTCTTCCATTCTCTCGTCAGATCTTCCCAGGAGATCTTCTTGTATAGATGGTTGACCTGGATGCCATAGATGGTTGCCATGTGGCTGAGCCAGAGCTGGCATCCGCCCTTGACGTTGAGGAACAGCGCCGAGATGAACAAGTGTTCGGGGACCTCGTGAATCCCAAGCTCCGTTGTAAAACCATCCCACCAGACGACTGGGTCCTGATGCGTATAGTCGTCAAACTTCTCGATCCGGAACGTCGGCATCTTGTACTGCTTTGATGCACTGATGCTGAGATCGTTGTCGGGCGGCCGGTGCAGCTGCCTGAGTTCGGTCTGCAAGGTGCCGAGCTGCTTGCTGATGGTGGCTGGTGCGGCGAAGGTGCTGATGTCGCCGAGCATTGCGACTACATGGTCAACTCGTTCCTCCAAATGGCGGGTTGACGCTGCACTTCTGGGTGCGCCAGCATCTGGTCCTGGTGCTGCCTGCTCCAAGTCCTGCACACGGGAATTAAGTGCCTGTGTAGCATCCTCATGCAGATCCTTGTGGTTCCGCACTGTCCATCGGAGATTCGTCAGCTCGGACTGCAGGTGGTTACAATTGTAAACCAACCGGGTCACGAGTTTGGAGAGAAACTCCTTGTACTCCTCCGGTGTTGCGTCGTCGTGGCCCTCGGATGGTTCAAAATGCCAGAACTTGAGCTTGTCGACGCTGGTGGCTTCGTGCCGCTGCAGCAGATCCTGGGCCTCCTTGCGGCGGGCCTGAGCATCTGTGTCAGCTGCGGCCTGAAGCCGCTGCTTTTCAGCTGCTGCCTCCACTTCAGCCTGGCACTGTTCCTCAGCCTCGATTAGTGCGAGTTGAGCTAGAAACCGCTGTCGATACTCGGCAATGGACTCGTTGGCCAGTTGGCCTGGCATGCCCAATGATGAACCCGTCATGGCGGCGGTGCACTGCTGACGTGGCACTGATGCAGACGTGGCACTGCTGCTGACATGGCACTGCTGCTGACATGACACTGCTGCTGATGTGGCACTGCTGCTGACGTGGCACTGCTGCTGATGTGGCACTGCTGCTGACGTGGCACTGCTGCTGACGTGGCACTGCTGCTGACGTGGCACTGCTGCTGGCGTGGCACTGTTGCTGACATGGCACTGCTGACGTGGCACTGTTGCTGACATGGCACTTACGAAACCGGGAATGCAGGGAAAGGGTTGGGTGGGAGGGAAACGGCAGGAAGGTAACCAACCAAACTGTACTTTCCTCCCAGTCCTAATCAACAGAATAAACTAAAAATAAAAAATAAAGGAAGGGGATCACCCCCTTTTTTTTTGTTTTTTTGTATATCTGTCGATCGGCTATGAGTGAGGCATTTCAGAGGAGTACTATGAGCGAGATCTAGGCAAGGTTCCGAAGAGTTTCGGCTTTCAAAAAAATGCGATCTTGATTTTTTTTTTTTTTTTGTGCGAAATAGACTGGAGGTTCCACTTTGAGAGAAGAAAATATCCAGTCCGAGAGCATGACAACCTCCCTAGTTCACCTAATATGCCCAGAGTAAAACAGAAAACGAAATGCTAATATTCATACTTGCAAGCGGACGTTGTCGGCGCGGTTCCGCACGTGCGCCGGACCGCCGGACTGGACCCGTGCGGCGCACGAGTGTAGGCCCGACGAACAGTTACCCCCCATCCACCCCCCCCCAAAAAAAAAACGGGGCTCGAAACGGCAGGTCCGAGTCCCCTTTGGAAAAATGCGGCCGGTGCCACCAAAATTTTTTTTGGGCCTGCGCTCAAGCCCGGACCGCCTTGGGGTTTCGAAATTTGAAACCCCCACTGAGGGAAGTACTCACTTCCTGCAGTTGCATTTCCCGCCGTCCTGCCCGTCGCCGTTTGCCACCCTGCTGCGCCGTCATTGTGCCCATCGCCATCTTGCCTGCCGTTGCTGCCGTTGAGGAGGACCATCGTCGTTGTGGCCATCGAGGAGGAGCAGCCCATCCCGCCCGCCATCGAGGAGGAGCAGCCCATCCCGCCATACTGCTGTCCCCGACGGTGAGTGCCACCAGCCCATCGTCCTCTTCTCGCTCGTCCTCCTCCGCTGCTGCTCCTCCTCCCCCTCCGCCTCCTCCCCCTCGTCTCCCCCCTCTTCTGCTTCTCCTCCTCCTCCTCTCTCTCTCCTCTCTCTCACACACACACACACACACAACACAGGTGCGCACTCCCCCAACAATGACCCCTACCCTGCGGAACCTTAAAAAAAAAACGAAAAAAAGAAAAGGGTCCCTACCAACCTGGACGGTGCGGGGAAGGCACCGCTCCAGTCCCGGACCAAACCGTACCGGACAGAAGACCACTGGACCGTACCCCGTCCGGCTCTGTCCGGTCCGGGGGGAGGGTGCCGAACGCGGCAAACCGGACCGGACCGGACGGACCGGACAAGCGTCCGGTCCGTCCGCTTGCAAGTAATATCCGAAGTTGGGAAAAAGATAATTTTTTTTTTTTTGCAGAGATTTGACGAAGTCCTACTTGATTTACTAATCAATCAATCAATCAATCAATCAATCAATCAATCAATCAATCAATCAATCATTCAACAATCAGTAGGTCAAGCAAGCTGGCTACTTGATTGGGCGGATCCTCTGATTGAGAGGTCCGCTCCGATACCAAACTGTCGCATACCGTGAAAGTGCAGACCAGAACAAGAACCGACCTCTCTCACATAGTACAAGATAGCGCAGCGGAAGGCTAATATACCAATGATCCGAACAATCAATGTTGCAATGCAGACCCAACATACATCATCATCATTCCATGGTGTGAAGGGGCCTGGCGCTGACACAGGAAGAATGTGCCAGTCCCCAACCATACACAGACGAAGAAGAGGGGAAGATGGGAATGTCGTCAACACCAAGTCTTCTGTACAGGTCCCAAATAATCCCTCGTCCAGTGTCTCAATCCCAATGTGGAGTCTGGATCCAAATGTCGTCAAGTCCCAAAGTCACCAATCTCTCTCTCTCTCTCATAGTCTGCAGATACTGAGAAGTTAGGTGCCGAGAGGGTGAGGGAGAGATGATGGACTTAGAAGAGGAAGAAGAAGAACTCTCTCTCTCCCTCCCTCTCTCAGTCTGGTACTAACCTGTGAAGGTGGCGCCTTGTTGCAGGTACATCGAAGACGAAGCTGGAGCTATGGCGCCCCAGGTGAGTCTCCCTGGCCTCCGCCAACCATCTCTCTCTCTCTTTACACTACTCCAGCTCCTAATAGCGCCCAGCGCTGAAGACTACTCCTAATGCTACTACTACTACTGCAGCGCGCCTCCAGAGTGCTGCTGCTGAATCCTGAAGACTGCCTCCTGCCTCCTGCACGTGAAGTGCCTGGGAAGTCCCTATGAACTACCTGCAGCCTGCAGCGGGCCAGTCTTATATGGTGCTGGGCCGTCCAGGAGGCTGCTCTTGCCAATGCCAAAACGTGCCAGACCCTGGCGTTGAAGTTCAAACAAAGGTTGGCTTGAAAACAGGCCCAAAATGGCCTGTGCTAAAACCCTGGTCTGGTGCCTAAGTTTCAGGGCAGGTCGATCTTATGAGGGCCTGAAAATGGCCCTCCGTTTCAGGCTGAAAAGACTCAGGGCCCGGAGGGCCCTTTTTAGGCTGAAACGACACAGGGCCTGTAGGCCCTCGTTTTCAGGCTTTGAGGCTGAAACGACACAGGGCCTGTAGGCCCTTGTTTTCAGGCTTGCAGGCTGAAACGACACAGGGCCTGTAGGGCCCTTATTTTCCGTCTGGTCGGGCCCTGCAGGACATTGTGGCTGCGCAGTATGCCACAGTCGGACTGGACTGGATTCTTCTGGACTTTTCTTGTTGGGTACCGGACGGACTCCTACCGACCTACGACACTTCGGTAACGACAGACCCACGACGTTTCAGCCTATGGACCCTACGGCCTACCCTACTGGGACAGCCTGGCACTGGGACACTTTGGGACTCCGAGAACGGAACTGGAGTGTAAACAGTGTTATCAACCAGGCCGCCCGGGAGTTCCGGCCGGGCAAGGGCCAGGGAGGGTCCCTGTGCAAGGATTTACACCGTGGGCATGCCCTTGAGGGGCCCATACAGCATGCATGAGCCCGCCCTAAGTAAAGGTGGGCCCCCAAATTTCAACGATGCCTGATTTTGTCAATTTTTGTGAAGTCTTGGTGGGGGCCAGACAGTTACCACGCACCAGTTGGTTACATCCGCCTTGCTCATGACAATCAGAAGTATTCCTGAGCCCTTCCAGCAGCATGGGAAAATCCAGGGAACACCACACGTTTATGCCTGGGTGCTTGGGCGTGCCTAACCAATTCGGTCCCAGTTCACTCTCTGAACGGGCCTGGGTGCAGACACTATGGGAGGATCGGAAGCTCCTGGAAACGCGCACGCCCCAGCCCAGCAGAGGAGAGCCCAACTGCTCACCATATAGGAAAGCAGCCAGGCCGTGCAGATTAGTCGGGCACTAGTCCAGTGATGCGGCAGCGCTGCTACTTCGAGTGCTCAGGTCGCAGCACTAGTGCTAGTGCTTGCGCACACGGGTGCGGTCACGAGGAAGAAGGGCTGCAAGAGGCAGCGCCAAAGCCCAGCCCTCATAGCCGGGCATGGGCTTGGACAAGGTCAGCGGGGAGGTGGTCATCTTCGTGTGTAGTGGAGACGTGGGTGAAGAAGACGTGTGTGTGTGTGTGTGTGTGTGTGTGTGTGTGTGTGTGTGTGTGTGTGTGTGTGTGAGAGAGAGAGAG